CATGACGAAGCCTCCAGAGGCTCCGAAGTAGTCTAAGAGATTCCACCCAATTAGAAATATTTTCTTAAGTAATACAATGCAAATAATAGTGATAAAAATGTTTAACAAATAATTAAAAACATTTAAAAAACGAAACTGACGTGATTAGTGAAGACATATGAAGTAACGCACATATCACTGTTTAATTGATTAAGCTACTCTACAATAAGCTGCATGGCATATAGTAAACAATAACGAATTAGTGAACTTGGCTCTTTCATATTTCAAATATTAAAAACGTTTGGATTGTCACTATGATACTAAATTGAAAAATCGAGATAATAGTTTGATCTCACTACATACTTACAAGACATTTGATATTGACATCACGTGAAATAAACCTAACTGTACACTTACCGAGCACGATAACTGATTCATAATAATATATATACAGACAAGCCATCTTGTCATAATCATATGCTGGCCAACTACATAGATTCGGCATAGTTGAAAACAATTTTGTGTTGACAGTTGGCGAAATCGCGCAACAGCCACTTATTTAACTACGGACTACTGTACTGCAGAACATAATATTTCGTTTATTATCGATCCCTTTTTGGAGCGAAGCAAAACACATCCACTGTATTAAGAATTGCTATCTACAAATGTCACCTATACATAAATAATCTTCGGTTCGCTCTCTTAAATTATTATTCATTTACGAAAGCGTAAACTGTTATTTTTTCACCAACCTTTGAAGCTTAACGTGAATAGTATGTATCCTACATATGATCTTATGACAATACCTTATTCATATATTTACCAGTATATCAGCGATGGGACACCGTTTCCATAAATGTAAAAACGAAATGACATAATAGTGATTGCATGTCACAACCTGAAAAAAGTTGTGCATGGTAATGTGAGTGGTGTTAAGCGTGTTTGAGCCATATGGACACATCGTAGGGCCTTAAAATGTTCTGACGAAGATGTTTACGGTATTATACACCACCTAAAAGAGGCCACCTAGAATATTTCATCCGAGCGTCAAGTCCATGTCTTCTTATCAGAATGCCGAGATGCTTGAGAGCGTTTGACGTATGAACACCAAGTTAGTGGCTGACATTTCTGAAATCTCCTACGACAGGTGGTCGGATCGCCCAAACATTTTCCATCGTTCGTAGGAAGGAAGTTGGTCTTATATTGGGATTCTGTATCTAAAATAGTGAGTTGAGCGTTAAAACGTCTTTTAACTTTCGTTTCATCGGGAGTAGTTGCCTGCGAGACCACTGCAAGAAGGCTAAAAAACAGAGATCGAACAAACACAGTGATATTCCCTTCTCGTCCTCAAAGACTAGAAAGCTATACCGAGAAAATTATCAGCCCCATCGGTAAGTACTTTCGGAGAGAGGCCGTACCTACACCTGAAAAGAATCTTAAAGCTTCGGTACATGTCACAAGGCCTGATATATTTATTACTGAAAACTGAAGACAGGTGCAAACTGAAATTTAATTCCGAATCTTCGGTCATGTATGGGACTGAAACAGGCTTCAGATCTGTTACACCAATGCACGAAGCTTACTTAACAAGCGATCGGAACTAGGTGTACAGATTGAATCTACAAAGCCAGATATAATTGCAGTAACAGAAACCTGGCTGACACAGGCTATACATAGTATGGAACTTGATTTCGAGGGTTTTACGTTAGTAAGGGCTGGCAGAACACAAAAGCGTAAAGGAGGGGGAGTGGCTCTATTCATTAGGAATGCCATCCTATTTGCCATTATCGATAGTGTATCCCATGAGAGTGGGACGTGTGAATTAGTTAGTTGCCGCTTGAAATGCAAGGGACAAGAGCTGCTGATTGGTTTGGTCTATCGCATTCCAAGCTGTGAGGTAAATGAAGTCCTGTTAAGCAGTCTCAATACTTGGTCCCAAAGTGGTCGTTGTCTAATCCTAAGGAACTTTAATGCACCTATGGTAGACTGGGAAAATCTGCGAACTAAATCGTCGGAGAATTCTTTCGAGCAGGAACTAGTTGATGCGGTTATCACATGTTCCTTAGTGCAACATGTGAAAGAAGCGACTAGGTACGACCCGGACACTGGATCATCCTTATTAGATCTTATACTGACTCACTATGAGGATGATGTTGCGAACCTCCATCATATGCCACCCCTAGGTAAAAGTGACCACGCAGTTTTAACTTTCGACTTCCATATAACTGCCAGTCATGAGGACGCGTCAGTCCAGTCCAGACCCAACGTCTGGAAAGCAAACATACCAGACATCATGCACTCAGCATCGTTAATAGATTGGACAATAGACCCAGAGTCCTCGATTGAAACGGCCTGGGACGCATTTCGAAATTCATACTTAAAAGTTACCACACCTCACATCCCTTGGACTATACCAAAGGGGCCGAAAAACTCACCACCATGGTTCAGTAGGGAGGTCCGTATCCTTCTCCGTAAGAAAAGGAAAACGTGGGATAGATTTAGGTTACTGGGGACTGATGAGTCAAAATCTCAGTATCGAAAGGCTCGGAACACTTGTGCCTCGACCCTCCGTAAGTCTAGAAAATTGTACGAAGAAAAACTTGTTAAGGAATCCATAGAATGTCCTAAACGCTTGTATTTCTATATAAACCAAAGGACAAGGAGAAAAGGAAATATTCCTGCTCTATGGGGAGACAGTACTGCTTCATAATTAATGGAAGACGACTTTGGTAAGGCTCAAGTGTTCTCGAACTACTTTAGCAACGTATATACCGTAGAAGCGCCCTTCTCGTCAGCGTATACAGATCCCCCCACACATACACTGGATAGCGTGACCATTAAAGAACTCGATTTCTTTGGTCTACTAAATAAGCTTGACATGGGTAAATCCACGGGGCCCGATGAATTACATCCTAGGCTACTAAAGGAATTATCTAACTTCGTTGCGAACCCTTTAAGTATATGCTTTAACCTATCCGTAACGCAAGTTCGTTTACCCAAAGACTGGGAAAACGCCATAATAAGTCCTGTCTTCAAAACAGGGACGAAGCACAAACTACCGCCCCGTTAGCCTAACTACTGTGGTTGTTAAAATATTAGAAAAGATTATTCGGAAGGAGCTGTTTAAGTATCTCGATAAAAACCGGATCCTCTCGGAGAAGCAACACGGCTTCAGAATAGGTTACTCTTGTCTCACTAACTTATTAGTGGCTCGTGAAAGCCGGTGCGCTCTTAAGGACCAAAAGTTACCTGTAGACGTCGCCTTCATTGATTTCAGTAAAGCTTTTGACAAAGTTCCGCACAACCGGCTGTTATATAAGTTAAGAAATGTCGGGATTGGAGGTAATTTATTGATGTGGATAAAAGACTTCTTAGTTGGGCGTCAACAAAGAGTAACGGTGAACTCAAAGTTATCTAGCTGGGAAACTGTGCTTAGTGGAGTGCCCCAGGGTACAGTTTTGGGGCCAGTGCTATTCCTCTTGTATGTAAATGACCTTCCTTGTCTCCTATCATCATCGGTCTTGCTATATGCTGACGATGCCAAGATATGGAGAACGATACGATGTAAGAGTGATAGCTTAGAACTTCAAAATGATCTGAAGAGATTATCTGAATGGTCTCAAACATGGCAGTTGCCGATAAATACTTCTAAGTGTGTTGTGATGCATATCGGTCATCAAGGCACAGATACATACACGATGAATAACACTGAGCTACCTGTCGTCCAGACATATAATGACTTAGGAGTTATCGTTAGTCAAGACTTAAAGACTACTGCACACTGCCGTGCAATAGCCGCCAAAAGTTTTAGAACGTTATGGTCAATACGTAGGGCTTTTAGTCATGTCGACACTAAGACGTTTTTGACTTTGTATACAGTGTTCGTTCGTCCTAAACTTGAGTACTGCATACAGGCGGCTAGCCCCTGCTTTAAAAAAGACAGTGAGCTTCTGGAAAAGGTTCAGAGAACGGCGACTAAGCTGGTTCCCGCAATAGCGAAGCTTCCGTATGAATCTCGACTGGCCAAGCTGAACCTTTTCCCGTTGTCATATCGCAGAACTAGAGGCGACTTGATTACAGTCTACAAATTGCTTAGTGATAAATTTGTACCTAACATGCCCCCATTTTTCTTGTCTTCCAAAACAGAGAATTTACGAGGACACTCCAAAAAAGTTCACAAGCCGAGAACAAATTACTTGTCAGCTGACTATCGACTTTCCCATCGAATCATCAACGAGTGGAATTCACTACCTCAGCACGTGGTTGAGGCTCCATCCGTCGACTCTTTCAAAAGAAAGTTGGATCAACTGAGAGACCACCATTGCCAGGACTAACATAGGCCATCGAGCCTCCTGTCCTTCCCAAACTGAAACTGAAGTTGGTCTCCGAAATCATGCAAAATATCAACCTTTAGGCTTATTCTTAGCGGTATTATGTATATTTACAAGTGCGAAATCCACTAGATTTTAAGGTGTTGTTTTTGTTTTACCGTACTTATGTCCACGTCTGTGGAGTTCAGTGGTGAGGGTTGGCACACTTATTGACATAATTGCGCATGTTGGCAAGTGTGGTCTCATGAGTGATCAGACATCTCTGCCGTATCCAGGTATATTTAACTTGAATATGTATGTTCATATTACTACTTATAATTAATTTCACATTCCTAGTAATAACAGGTCAACCGACGCTCAGCACATGGTAAGTCGACATACACTTCTTAACACTCATGCTTTTAGGCAATGTCTTACTATGTAAGTCAATGGGGTGGTTTTATACTTGAATGTATTCGCCGTATTCATGTCGTAAGACACTTCTAAGTCTGCTCTCTCAGTTCTATGAATGTAGAGAAGTGGTTATGTAGTAGTTTCTTTCTTTCAATTTTTCGTCTAACTAATTTAAATGCCTCTTGTTTTTACAGCCCCAAACAGGTGCGCGCTTAGGTAAGCCCACTGACTTAATAACTTTCCTCTAGAAAGTATGGGCGTACCTGCCCCTAACCCGTTCTATCCTCTCCGCCATCCGGATCAGCTCCCTCGGTTTTTTTGCGGTGGTATGACACAGGCTCCATTTCTTTGCATGTCTGTCTCCGACGTTCAGCCGCACGACCACATGGGTGTCGCTGCGCACACTGACTGTGCTCAGTACCAGCATACTTTTTACAACCCTATTATTCCTGCCATCCAAACAAATCCAAACCAGGCAAGCGGAAACCAACCGCTTAATACTGCGCTACCAAAGCCAGTCCGTGAAAAGAAACCATTAAGTGTGTTTGATCCTGTAACAAAATCAAAACTTAATCTAGAAGAAGCATCAAGAATCCCTTCTGAATCACGCAAGAAAGAACCATTAATTATACAACCTAAGGCGGATGAAACGCCTCCCTTATCTCAAACAAAAGACGAAAGCGAAAAACCTGTCTGCACTGAGTACAAGGATGAGGGTATATCAAGCGTAGAGACAGCGTCACAAGAAGATGCCCCACCTAAAGAAAGTGTGGGTTCAGACGACTTGTGTAATGAGGTCCTTGAGCATGTCAGATCACTAGATGAACGTTTGTCACAAGAAGACGAAACCGAGTGGGAAGGTGCAAAAGAAGAGGAGGCAAAAGAAGAGACGATGGACAGACAAAGATATCCACGTGACTTCATTCTTTCTTGTAAAGCTTCAGGCGTTGTATTGTCGTTAGATAACTATAGGGTAAGAAACCCCTTTATTAATTTTGATGTAATAAACCTAGGATATCATGAATAGCTTTGCAAATATAAAAAGGGTAAGTGCTCTTTAAGTTCATTCTATCTGTTAGACTCGTAATCAATCTAATATACACAGAGGCAGAGTTATTCAAATACCCACAACTATTACTATCAAACGTGTTGAAGGTGCTTTCGTCCCGTCAAAACTTGTTCATCACGGAGCCAATAATGTAACAGATAGGTCAAAGGATATCGCTCGAGAGCTAAATATGATTTTAAACCGTGTTTCGGCCAGCAATTTAGAAGTGACTATCAGTGATATTGAGAAGCTTAACATCGCAACACCCGAAGATCTCAGTCTTTTGGCAAGAACGATTTTCCAAAAAGTAAGTCCAAGTGCTCGTACTAGATGATTAGTTCATTAGTGTAGTTAATTACATGGGAAAGGAGCACAAGTACTATTGTTTATTTACAAGACTCGGTGTTTCCCTATCATGCACCGGATTTCTCTGTGTTGTATTCAGAAACTAACAATACAGATTTCAATACAATGTCTATGGTTTCAACAAGCGTGAAATAATGTGATAGGTGGTGATTTCCACATAACCTTTGCTTAGAACTAAGCACACCACATACGAAAAGTTTTGAATGCCATTCCTGTCCGTAAGTCCTAGTGACTAATCCAAAAGGGTTCCTTGTGCAATTAATTTCCGTTTATAAAGGTGTGCTCCGTCTATCTGCACCAGCTTGTGTGCCTAGAGTATTTTGGTATATGTACCGACAAAGGATAACTGTAAGGGCACTTACAAATGGGCCGAATAAGTTAGGTAAAAGTACTACAGCATTTGTCATCGGCTATCAGCAACTATATTTTTGATTTGTCAGCTTATCAGACCAGAAAGTGAATTGTCCACTCACTGGGTGCTAGCGCATTCCTTATTAAGTATTTCTTCACTACTCGTGGGGTGTCCCCAAAATTTTTGAGGAAAGGAAAATTGGTTAAGATGGATTTTCGTCACGTGAATTTACAGTATAAATCCTGTTCTTATGCGTTAAATGGATTTTACACTGGGACTCATGTTGACTGACGATTACTCTTAAGCTATGACCAATGATATATATAGCTAGTTATCATGAATGTATCTTGAGTTCTGATGGATCCCGAGCAACAGAGCTAACAAGTGAACTCACTATTGTTAGTAATACAAGGAAGAAAAATAGCAGTAGTCTTGTTCGCAGTGTGGGTTACAAAATTGTGGTTTAGCCCTTTAACATGCCAGTATTGTATAGTAAACATTGCAAAAGTTTGTCTATTACATTAAAAAAATACTGAATGTCTTTATGTTCCAAAACTAAAACTCTTCAATGCACCAGAAACCAAGTCCCAATCTGGTTTTTTATATGTTTGCTGATGCGAATATGGTTACCTAAATTCAAGTTTTAGTCAAAGTAGGTGCTACAGCAATTTGTCCTTAAAATGATTATCTGTGTTGATACGAGTCAGACGAAAGTTTAACTTAGTGCCCCACCATCTCAACTTAGTGCTCCAGATGGTCCCGCTACAATTCTTGGACCACAATTCTCTAAAATCCCTAAAATCAACTCAGTCTACTGATCGCTTTCAATTTGATTACCTAGTTAGTTTCGAAGCTCTAAACCCACTATTACCCTTACTGTTAGTAGATGGTAAGCTTTGATCTGGTTAGGCTTTCCTACCCATACTTCCAGGGATGAATTTTTGTAAAAACAATACAGTGGTATGTTTTGATCCTCTCACTTTTCTCCTAAATTTTCACGCTGCATACATTTATTGCTTTCCAGGTTATCAGGCAGTCAAAATACTGTCAAGTCTTCGCGAATTTATGTAAAAACCTAAAAGGGGTATGTTTAAAAAGTTGCGTAATACCTTTTAGTTGGAAGTACAAGGTTCAGAACGCTTTCCAGTGTTAATTCTACAACAAACACAAGAGCTGTTCAACAAACCATTAGATGTATGTTTAAATAATGTTTAATCACCTTTCAGGTTCTTATAACTGAATTAAATGCCACCATTGATGCTAAAATTGCAGCAGCCAAGGATGAATCAATAAAACGGATGCTTGAAGATGACCGAGAAACAAACATTCAGAAGACAACTGATTCTTACTATGGAAATATGACGTTCATTGCTGAACTCTATCTTGTTGGATGTATTCCAATCAAAACTATGACTGAGTGTCTGAAAAAATTGAAAGATTCTTCAGCTCCCGAAGCTTTAACCTCTCTCATAATTCTTCTGAATATATGTGGCAGTAATCTTGAAAAAAATTCTAAGTCTGTTTTGGATCAGTGCTTCAGGCGACTCGAACAGTTAAAAGATTCGAAGAACATTGAGACGCATCAAATTTTCAAAGTACACGAGTTAGTGGACTTACGTTCGCGTGATTGGAAATCTGCTAATATTACCCAACCTCAACCACAATTAGATCCTTCCAGACGAAATATAGATGATATTTTCTTCCAGAATACCAATCCGTTCTGGAGACCAAGCACTTACATGGAACCGAACAATTATCAATTACATTTATGTATTTCCATTTTGTATCTTATTATTTTATGCAGGCAGTGGAGCAGTTCTTCAGGTTTGCTTGATTTTCGCCATTGCCTTTGAAGTAGATTCTTCTTTACCTTTTACTTGAGGGCGACTCAAGAGGCAGGTGGGTAAACACCTGATAGCCGGTCTGAGCACGGAAAAATCGTACCTCACTAACATGGTGTTGGGTAGCCCGCTCGCGGCACTTCCTCAGATATTCTTATTCCACATTCTCACACTTTCTCTTGAAAGCACGCAGCAAACCGTCGGCGATAGTTGTAGAAGAAATCACATGCTACAAATTAAGATGACAAGCTAGTAAAGAAGAGACATCCATGGACTATCATTGACAGCGTCAGTCGTCACTGATTGTAAGTCAAACAGTGAGGGAGTTGATAATTTTCCCTCGGGATGAGAAATAGAACTAAGGTGTTTTCGATAGTTAGGTTAATCGAACCGACGTTCCCATGGAAGTCGATTCTAGGGGGAAGCTAATGTAACAGCTTAGGTTGGTTGGCTAAGAGTTGACCCCAAACAACCAAGTATATGCCAAAACAGTATTGTTCAAGTATTCATTCACTTCCTTGTTTTGTATAAGCGTTATATTCCCTATTATCTTATATTGAATGTTGAGAGCCTTTGTTTGTCTGAACAGATAATCCCACGCTCCACTGTGACCGCGCTAAGATCGAAATAAAGACCTATTCACTACTTGTCTGGTTTCTTCTATCAATAGCAGGAGGGTTACTTTAAGGCACGAAAAGTGTTCGGCATGCCAACAATCAAAGGTTAATCGTCACACAAATTAAACCATAGGTGTTTTCGCGCAACCAGATGAACGTTTTGCCCATGTGCATATCGACTTGGTAGACCCTTTACCACGTTTGAACGGTTTTAATTATTTCCTCACATGCATAGATCGATTTACCAGATTCCCTATAGCCATCCCGATAGCGGACATCACAGCGGAAACAGTAGGTAATGTTTTCATGCAGAACTGGGTAACCATTTTTGGTACACCCATAACAATAACGATGGATAGAAGAGCGCATTTTGAATCCCAACTATTTAATACCTTAGCTAATCGTTCTTACGGAAGTCAATCCTAGGGGGAAGCTAGTGTAACGCCTTAGGTTGATTGACTAACAGTTGACCTCAAACAACCAAGCATATGTCAAAACAGAATAGTTCAAGTATTCATTCACTTCCTTATTTTGCTAAGGTGTTATATTTCCTACTATCTTATATTGAATGTTGAGAAGCTTTGTTTGGCTGAACACGTAGTCACACGCTCCACTGTGACTGCGCGAAGATCGAATTAAAGACCTATTCACTACTTGGTTGGTTTCTTCTATCAATAGCACGAGGGTTCCCTACAGGCACGAAAAACTCATATCGAAGCCTTCAATTTTATGAATGAAGAAATGCCAGGAGTGCAAATGATAAAATATTACCAACTATTGAACGAACGTGGAGTTGAGTAAAACGCTAAGTCATGAAGATGTTGTTTCAATAGACTCGGAAGAATTCAATAAGGGAAGCAACAACTTAGAAGATGCTCACTGGTAACGAACTGTGTGACATATGCCATCTTGCTCAACCACAAAGTGAAACAGTCGAATGAAGAACGTGGATTGTTTGTCGCTCTAATGCTATGTTTCATCCTTTTTATTGTTAGGACCCACGGCTGCAATTTCATGGTTCCATTGTCCTATATGTCGCGCGGCTACGAAGTTTAATGAGAGACACGGCCGTATTAAAAATTGGTATTACAGACAAAACCGTACATTCATATTTCAGTTACTAACTGAAAATCTAATATTTTTTCCACTTTTTATGAAGTCGCTGTTGCTGCTATACGTAGATGGGGAGATGAAACACTCTAAGATAAATGACTGTGCTGTTATAACCAAGAGACCGATAGAAGGCGCTTAACAAGGCCACTCATAGTCTGACTTCAATTTTTACTTCTTAATTCGTTACAAATCGCATCAATAAATTACTATCACTCGCACTTCACATATGTTCCCTGTACTTTTGCACACAGTTCAGCCATCATTACGTTTAACGTTAATTATTTATAAACCGATTTTACTGTTCATCTGTTAAATTTCATATTTTTTGGAAACCAAGCAAAGACCATCCTTATATATATTCGAAAAATATCGTTAGGCAAAATTCCATTTTTATGAGGAACCGATTACACTGTAATAATGATATATTTAACAATAATAAATGGTGACAGTTGTATGACCAGTAGTTTTGGCTATACTAAATGTTACTGTCTCAAAATAACGAGAATGTAGACAAATGGTTAGCGAAGTTATCAGTCCTTTTGTGCATGTAATACATATTATCTGGACATGATTTTCGGTACCTATGCATAATATCCGTTTCATAGAAGGTGGAAAACAACTACACAGTCATCAAATAGTACCCGTTTTGCGAGTCGTATACATGAACATGTGGATTGTGCACTAAGCCGTATATCCTTCACGCATGAAAACATAAGGATACATTCAGCCGTACAATAACAAAACCGTTATTATCTGCGCTTAGGCTAAATTGTAATAGCGTTCATCGATAAGCAATATTTGTTGTGGTTAGGAGAACTCCGAGGAGCATGACGAAGCCTCCAGAGGCTCCGAAGTAGTCTAAGAGATTCCACCCAATTAGAAATATTTTCTTAAGTAATACAATGCAAATAATAGTGATAAAAATGTTTAACAAATATTTAAAAACATTTAAAAAACGAAACTGACGTGATTAGTGAAGACATATGAAGTAACGCACATATCACTGTTTAATTGATTAAGCTACTCTACAATAAGCTGCATGGCATATAGTAAACAATAACGAATTAGTGAACTTGGCTCTTTCATATTTCAAATATTAAAAACGTTTGGATTGTCACTATGATACTAAATTGAAAAATCGAGATAATAGTTTGATCTCACTACATACTTACAAGACATTTGATATTGACATCACGTGAAATAAACCTAACTGTACACTTACCGAGCACGATAACTGATTCATAATAATATATATACAGACAAGCCATCTTGTCATAATCATATGCTGGCCAACTACATAGATTCGGCATAGTTGAAAACAATTTTGTGTTGACAGTTGGCGAAATCGCGCAACAGCCACTTATTTAACTACGGACTACTGTACTGCAGAACATAATATTTCGTTTATTATCGATCCCTTTTTGGAGCGAAGCAAAACACATCCACTGTATTAAGAATTGCTATCTACAAATGTCACCTATACATAAATAATCTTCGGTTCGCTCTCTTAAATTATTATTCATTTACGAAAGCGTAAACTGTTATTTTTTCACCAACCTTTGAAGCTTAACGTGAATAGTATGTATCCTACATATGATCTTATGACAATACCTTATTCATATATTTACCAGTATATCAGCGATGGGACACCGTTTCCATAAATGTAAAAACGAAATGACATAATAGTGATTGCATGTCACAACCTGAAAAAAGTTGTGCATGGTAATGTGAGTGGTGTTAAGCGTGTTTGAGCCATATGGACACATCGTAGGGCCTTAAAATGTTCTGACGAAGATGTTTACGGTATTATACACCACCTAAAAGAGGCCACCTAGAATATTTCATCCGAGCGTCAAGTCCATGTCTTCTTATCAGAATGCCGAGATGCTTGAGAGCGTTTGACGTATGAACACCAAGTTAGTGGCTGACATTTCTGAAATCTCCTACGACAGGTGGTCGGATCGCCCAAACATTTTCCATCGTTCGTAGGAAGGAAGTTGGTCTTATATTGGGATTCTGTATCTAAAATAGTGAGTTGAGCGTTAAAACGTCTTTTAACTTTCGTTTCATCGGGAGTAGTTGCCTGCGAGACCACTGCAAGAAGGCTAAAAAACAGAGATCGAACAAACACAGTGATATTCCCTTCTCGTCCTCAAAGACTAGAAAGCTATACCGAGAAAATTATCAGCCCCATCGGTAAGTACTTTCGGAGAGAGGCCGTACCTACACCTGAAAAGAATCTTAAAGCTTCGGTACATGTCACAAGGCCTGATATATTTATTACTGAAAACTGAAGACAGGTGCAAACTGAAATTTAATTCCGAATCTTCGGTCATGTATGGGACTGAAACAGGCTTCAGATCTGTTACACCAATGCACGAAGCTTACTTAACAAGCGATCGGAACTAGGTGTACAGATTGAATCTACAAAGCCAGATATAATTGCAGTAACAGAAACCTGGCTGACACAGGCTATA